CTCGATCACCCGAGAGGAGGCATTTGATTCGTCCAACAGAGACCGTTGGACGAGCAGCCAGTCTGGTAAACAGTCGTGGCATCCTATCCGATGTTATCGTTCAGGCTCGAGAGCATCTGTGGGTGTGAAGCGTCCAAGGGGACGACAGCGACAGCCCTGGTAATGGCGAGCCCCGTGGCGACGAGCGACACGTGCAAGCCGAAGATAGCTGGTGTTGGCCATGGTCTCCGACTGGCAGAAACATCCCGTGGGCAGGGCTGCCGGGCTAGTGCGAGGAGGCCTGACGAAGCCCAGTCGCCCTGCCATGGTTCTGTTTATCCGACTGGGCAGAAGACTGGACTTGGGCTTCGCCTTCGCCGTGCGCCTGGCCGCAGTGGCTCACTTGCGGCATAATTGTTGAGCTGCGGTGCGTGACTCAATTGGTATGCCGTCCGCCTGCGCCCCTCGAGAGAATCTGGGCACACATCAATTGTTGGCCACCACGTGAGAGACATGCGGTTGGATTGCCGATCGTGTGGACGGCCGAAGCTGTTCTGCCGAAGTGATGAGGCGATTCCCAGCACCCACAGCTTATCGAGACCACCACACCCACCTGTTTCCCAGGCACAGGAGACACACCAGACCAGAGTGATATCAGAACGGACGGGCTGGCAGCAGAGACGAAGGTCGATTGGGTGGTGGTGGTGGGCAAGCAAGGCCAGGCACGCAGCAATAGCAGCAGCAGGAGGAGGAGGAAGGAGGAAGAGGGAACAAAAAAGGTTTCGGCATCGCCAAAAGCCGCCCCTTCCACAACCCCTGCGGCGGTTTGATCCACTTCTTTGGCAACAGCCACTAGGCCAAATCGGGGATAGCATTCATAGGTTTTCTCCTAGTGCCCCCCAGATTTGGGGCTCAAGTCCAACGTCAAACCTTGTCTGGGCCAACCTCACAGCCAGGGGCTCAGGCATTTTGGGCGACACTACGAAACCCAGACGTGTTACATCACTGCTTCACCTCATCGCCACTCAATGCTTCAACACCAAGCCATCTGTGCTGCGCTATCTGCCTCGCCTGCCATGCCATGCCTGCTCTGCCCTGCCCTGCCCTGCCTTTTCCCTCGCCCCCAACGCAAGGCAAGGCAGGGTAAGGTAAGGCACGCGGTGCGACTGCGACTGCGACGGCCAACGGCACGACGAAGCCCACTGTTCCGCTGCTCATTACTGCTGCCGCGCTGCTCTGCTGACCTCGTACTGGGACACGAACATGCCCCCCTGCTTCTCGTGTAGGCCGTCTTCCACCACCACAGGCCTCACTCACACGACGTTCGTCGGCAGGGGGCCTGAGTGACGAGAATTGCAGAGGACAAGGTACCAACCCAGCCAACGTTGGCGGGGTCGTGACGAACATGGTCGCCATCCCGCGTCCAGAGCCCTTGTCTCCAGCAACGACCTCTCTGACGAGGACCAAGACAAGCTACATCGCCGTGCCGTGGTCCCTCCAAGTCGTCTTCTAACCAGCAACATGCACGTCAAGCGACCACCCACCCCCATCAAAGCCCCCCTCTGCAGAATGCAGGTCCGCCAGTTACGGCCCGAGCTGAGGTGCGGGCTGCTTCTCATTCGCCGGCTCGAGTTCGTCGACCCTCGTCTTTTACCTCTATCCTGGGCACACCAAGGACCCACGATCCATCTTCGTCCTCCCCTGTTCTGGCCCTCTCCCGTTGGCCACCCATCCAGCCGTGCTACCCTGGACCAAAGTTGGACTTGGGCCCCATCTAGCGGTTTGGCTAACTCTCCGGACCTCATCTGGCCCGCGCGGGGGCCCTTCCCGAGTCTCTCCCCTGCCAACCCCCTACTGGGTCTCGCCCGCGCTTCTGTGATCGCCTTTTGACCTCTTCATGCGGCCTTCCCTCTACCATCTGACTTCTGAAAGTGGTCTTTCCTTTCCTTCAAGGCCGGTCCCTTTCCCTTCTCTTGAGTGGCTGGTCCTATTGCTCCTTGTTTCTATTCGTAGGTCCCGACTTTGCCTAGTGTCTGTTTCGTCTGGTCCGCCCTCTTCGTCCAAGAGCGGCAGTCTTTTACAGTCCATCCAGTCTTTTCACCTACACTTTTCACTTCTCCATCCCATCCGCACTCCATCTCCATCCATCCTCCTCTTCGCTTCTCACCCATTGCTACTACTCTTTTACTCTTCTCCAACGAGGACGTCTTCGACAGGTCTATGGATTAGATGGTTCGGACGGCGAATTAATATCTGGCATTGCTGCGGCTCGACGCCTGCACTCATCTCTTCGACATTGCCAGGTGAATAATCGACGAGATGGATAGCTGGGGCTGGTTGGAACCTCGCGCCGAGGGCGACGTTACGAACTACGATGGCGGCGCTTCATTACGAGGCCCCTACCGGGCAACGAACGCTTCGACGTCGGCTTTGATCAACCAATTCCGCTTCCAGGCGGCGAAATCGATTCGAACCTCGACCATCATCCTCGCCGTCTTCAATGTTATTGCTGCATTCGCTACAGCAGTTGGTATCTTCTGGGATGGCTATGGCTCGACAAAGAGGAACAACCCAAAGTTTGGCTTCAGAACACACGGCTTCACATTCGTTGGACCTGCCGAGTCTTTCCCGCTTGTTCTGTCTGTCGGAATCGTTGTTCAGGGCATCGTCTTCGCAGTCGCTCAGTCGACTGGACTCGACCACCTTCTGACTCTCGGCTGCACCATCACCTCTCAGATGATGTTGCCTGGTATGTTCTCTCGAATCAGAGTGGGCTATGTGAACGTGGCTAACAATTGGCAGCCGTCTTCATCGTTCCTTACATTCAACTAGTATTTGCTCTCGAAGTGGCCATTCGGTCTCTACGAAAGAACCCCTTGCCTCCCCGTGGCAAGTGGAACGTTACGATTTGCCTCGCTATCGTTGGCACTTTCCTTCTCATTACCTACCTCGTCACTCTATTTATCCGCCCTCCGAACTTTTGCTTCGCCTCGCTCTTCTGGTTTGTCCAGCGATGGAAGGAGGGCTGCTTCGCACTTCTCGTCTTGATCTCGGCGGTGTTGTTTGGCTGTGCTATGATCATCTTCTTCAGACTTCACAACAATTCGAGAATCGAGAACGCTGAGCGCGTTGCTGCTTCAAGGATGGTTTACTTCTTGGCGGTCGCCTTCATTTCGACCGTAAGTCCTATGCAGTCAACCCATCAGCTCATCTGCTAACGTCTTCTCACAGACCCTCCTTATCCCATTCTTCTTTAACCTTTCCTTTGTTGAGCAGCGGGGTGCCACTGGCCAAGCTCTCACTCTCTCTATGATTGCGTCAGTCGTCGCCAACGTATCAGGCCTATTGACTGGCGGCCTTCACCTATTCCTGCGTTCAAACACCTTGTCGACTATCGGCCCCCGCGATAAGTGGGAGTCTGAGCGTAATAAGCTCAAGGCCGGAATTAGGGTCTGGGCTCCTAATGGTGACGACGATTACGAACACCACATGATGAATCCCGTCGGCAGGGCACGGTCTCTCCAGCGTATGGACAGCACCGATAGCCTCGTCCCCGAGAAGTACGAGGAGGCCCGCATCGAGAGCCCCTCGAACTCACCCACCTACGCCAACCCCCTCCGATCGAACGCCGTGTACCCCATCCACCCGGCTCCCTCGCCCGTGAGGGTGCCTGAGCCTGCACAGGTCTCAACTTACCAGACCCCGAAGGCTATGGGTCACGCTCGCAAGAGGTCATACTCCCTGTTCCCTCCCGAGCAGAACAACAACACCAAGTCTATCACTTTGCTTCCCGCCACTACCTACTCCCCCAACCCCAACAAGAACGACGAGGATGATGTCTTCTTCTTGAGGCCGCCTCCGTCGATTCACCCACAGGGCATCCGCCACCGCCGCGACTCTTCCATGGCGTCGTCAGCGACTGTGCAGATTGGCCTTCGCCTGTCAAACGTCGACGACATGCCTCCCCTCAACTCTCGCTACTTTGAGAACAACAACAGCGTCACAGCGCTAGATTGTCCCAATGAGACCGAGGTCCCAAAGCGGCCCAGTCCCTTGGCTCAGGTCGACGTCGTCAGCGACAGCGGCTCTTCCGACTCTTCCGACTCTGAGGACGAGGACAACACTTTGGTGCAGTCCCCTGTCCGATCTGAGAAGGATGTTCGGATGAAGAACCTTCCTGCTGTTCCCAAGGTTGCTGTCCCCAGACAGTCTCAACTGAAGCAGGAGGAAGGCGAGCTCACTCTGAGCCCTGCCGTCTATAGGCCTGAGAGCCCTCAAAAGACGAGAGTCACAAGCCCTCAGGGCGTCGGCTTCAACACCCCTGCGCGAAAGCCTTCTGTTCCCGCCAAGTGCACGAAGCGAAACTGCCAATGCGATCTTCCTCACGACAAGCGTGATTGGATCTAGGCACGTTAGCTGATCGTATGAGGCAATTTACGGTGTTCGGAAGCGATAAAATAGACATGTCTAAACGATGGGCGGTAAAAAGCGATTGATCCGATCTTTCGGCCACAGATCGGAGTTGTTGGCGAATACTTTCTCTTCTTATATTTTATATTTCATTGGATGGCGTTTCTTTTGCGGAGATACCTGTACGACATATACGTCTACATATTGTTTGGTTTCTTATCTCTCAACAATGCAAATTGGTGCATTGTGTACGATCTGGGATGACGGGCTATCATTGGAGAGTGTAGGATTTCGGGGCGAGATGGTCCTTCATGGCACTTTGTCTCTAGGACAAGCACGACGGCACGATTAGCTACGAGACGGATTTGACATTGGCGGGCGGAGGTAAAATGGTCACAAGAAGTAGGCCTCTCATAGTGCATCTACGATAGCTCAATGGATAAAGAGCTCAAACAAACATGACCCAAGACGAGTAACGTGAGACAAGTCCGATTGGTGTCCGTTTCATTCCGCCACAGCTGCATTCCACGTGCCTTAGATGCGCCAAATATATGCCTCGATTGCAGATCACGTATAATTCCACGTATGTATGTATGGTGTCCGTCAATGTGTCACCTCTTCTTCTGCTTCTCGGCCTCAACCGCCTGCTTTTCGGCCTCAACCCGCCTCTCCTCCCACTTATCCCACCCAGCCTGGCACGGGTCTTCTTCAACCACCAAGTCCCTGAATCGGAATACCCGTGCAATTGGCAATTGCAAGCCCCAGCTCAGCAGTCCCGTATCCCTGGCAATGGCTGTGACCAGAAACCATCCAACAGCTGTGATCGATCCAGCCAGGCACCCGACCAACACTTGCCTCACGGTGTGGTAGTCGAGATAGACCCGGCTCCACGCAACGGCGGCTGCGATGACGAGGGCCACGCCACTAACGACGACACGCTCGATCAGGGAGTACGGCCGGTGATGCCTCCGCGCGGGCGACGGGCGGTGTCTGACCATGAGGAACAAGACGAGGAACACGGACCAGTAGGCGACGAACTGGGCATGAGAGCTCGGCATGCCGTAGCCCTTACCGTGGATGCGGCGTGGGCGCTCCTCCTTGATCAGGCGTTTGAGGGCAAAGTTCAAGGCCTCGCAGCCGAGCTGGCCGGCGAACATGAGGGCTATCTCGGCCTCGCGGGTCGACCAGATCAGAGTCGCGTAGACGATGCAGAGGGCTTGCGGGAGGAGGGCGAGCCATGCGCAGAGGAAGGAGAGGGGGTCTTCGGGGTCCTGCGGGATTCTTCTGTCAGTGTTGTTCCTCTTCAAAGGCGAGAGTCGAGCCTTGGGCAGCTGCTAAGGTGCGGAGAAGCTTACATAGTAAACGTGGGTGAGGGAGAGAGAGGCGAGTGGTCTCGTGTCTTGGTCCATGGTGTCCGCTTCGCAGCTCCGATTGTTCTTCCAGCCACGACTGAGAGCTTACTACTGCGGGAGTTTCTCCGGGGGATTGGGGGTTCTTATTGCTCGACAGCAAGTTGCCATATGCGTCGACAAAAGGACTGGTCCGCGTGAGGCAATAGAATTTTGCGAGTCGGGCCCAGGGGCTGGTAAAGTTAAAGCAAATGTCGCGGATCGTGGTGCACAGCGCCCTAGAAATGTCAAAGTGCTAATGGAGCCCGTTGCGCTGCGCTGGCCGTTGCGCTGGCTGGCTGTTGCGCTGCTGCTACCTTAGTGCTGTGTGGTGTGTGGTGTGTGCTGTGTCTGCTGAACACCTGCCGCTCACTCGCAACCGCACTGCCCGCTGCTTCTCCAATATTTGCATAATACGTCAAGATGCATAGCTCCAAGCTCGGGCCAATCGGGAGGCTTTGTGCCCCACGCTTGTGGCTTGTGGCTGACCAGGCCTGGAACCCCTCCATCCCTCTTTTCGTCACCCGGCAAAGAATTCCAGAAGGATTGCGACGGCTGGTCGGGGTCGGAGGGAGGGACTTGAAGACCGGTCCCCCCCCAGTCTTTTTTTCTTTGCCCCGCGATGCAGTGCGGCAAAAGAGTCATCATTTTTTGATTAGCAACTCGGTCAGCCGTTTCTGTACCAGGCATTCGAGAGGACCCGACGCCTCAGAAACCACACGACCACCAACGGCTGCTCAAGCTCGTATAATGTGCTTGTCATAACCAGTCGCTCTTCTCGCGGATTCCGCGACCATTTCTTCTATCTCAATAACACCACCTCCATTGTCCGACTTCGCCACTGCTTCCCGTCGCTGCTGATATACCTCGCGTTGCCCGTCGCTGAAAACTGTGAAGGCCACTGAACTTTGATCAAGTTTGCAGTCTCACACTTTGAACATCTCCGGCGTACACACTGCGCCTTAATCTCGCATGCGATCGCACCAGAAAAGTATGATAGTCGCCGTCTCCCACAGGTAGCAGTCATGGACGCCGATAGCGACGACCCGCGCGACGACGAGCTCAGCTCTCTCCACGCCATCTTCCCCGAACTCGAGCCCGATGACAAGAATCCGTACTCCTTCTCCATTGAGCTCCCCGTCCACCCTGCGAAGCCCGTAACCGTCACCTTCCCGGCCGCCTCGAACGCCGACGTCCCCGCTGCGGCGCAAATCCCCGGTGGCGAGCCCCGCGTCGAGTCCCACGAGCTGTTCCATCTGCCGTCCGTCGTTGTTCGTATATCTCTGCCACAGGGCTATCCCTCAGAGAAGCCGCCGAGTGTCAGCATAAGCACGTCGCCACCATGGCTGTCGAAGGAGGCCACCAGGAAACTGGAGGATGACGGCCCGCGGTTGTGGGAGGAAATGGGCAGGGACATGGTCGCCTTCACGTACATCGATCATGTGCAACAGGCCGCCGACGACGTGTTTGGCATGGTGGACGGAAACGGAGCGCTGGAGATTGACCCGCTTCACAAGATCGCCGTTTTGGACTACGACATCGAGGCTACTCGGGCCGCGTTTGCAAAGGAGACCTTTGACTGCGGCGTCTGTTTAGGTGCGCTTGTCCCTCCCCGAGGCCGTCGACGGGCTGGCGCTAACGTTTGAACAGATCCCAAAAAGGGCTCAGTCTGCCACAAGATGCTCGACTGCGGGCACATTTTCTGTACCCAATGCCTACAGGAGTTCTACGATAATGCCATCACAGAAGGAGACCTGGCCACCGTTCGCTGTCTTGCCCCGAACTGTGCAAAGGAGCGAGCGGAGACGCAAGGCGCCTCGGGGAGAACGAAGAAGCGCAAGGTCAAAACCGCCATCAGCCCGAGTGAACTGCTACAGATGGGCCTGTCCCAAGACACGGTGACCCGCTACGTGACGCTCAAGTACAAGAACGAGCTCGAGTCGGACAAGAACACCATTTACTGCCCTCGATCATGGTGCAACGGGGCCGCGAGGTCGAAGAAACACAGGAAGCCAGATGGCCTGGAGGACGTGGAAAGCTCGGACGAGGAGACGGACGAGGAAGGCCAGGGAACTGACGGGAAACAAAAGACGAAAAAGACATTTGACGTCGGCGACCTCTTGGCCATCTGCGAAGACTGCGGCTTCGCCTTCTGCAGCCGCTGCTTCCAGTCGTGGCACGGCGAGTTCTTCCGCTGCACGCCTAAGCGCGATAAGGAGGAGATGACGGCCGAGGAGCAGGCGTCGATCGACTACATCAACCTACACACGACGCCGTGCCCAACCTGCGGCGTCCCGGCGCAGAAGACACACGGCTGCAACCACATGATCTGCTTCCGCTGCGCCTCCCACTTTTGCTACCTCTGCTCCGCCTGGCTCGACCCGCGGAATCCCTATGCGCACTTCAACGAGCAGCCCAACGGCAAGTTTACCTCGTGCTACATGCGGTTGTGGGAGCTCGAAGGCGGAGACGGCGATGATGTGGATGTCGGGTTCGCCGGCGGCAGGCAGCAGCAGCAGGCAGCTGTTCCGCAGCCCGCCGAGGTTATTGATATCGTTCCCGAAATCGAGGAGCCCGATGACACCGAGTCGGAGGATGAGGCGGACAACGCTGTCCAGGAACCACGGCCTCCAGCAGGCGGTGTTGCGCGTGAGGGGCCACTAGTTCTTCGCATCGGGGCCGACCCGGCTCCCCGAGGAGGGCGAGGAGGAGCTGCTGCCGGCATAGGCCAGGGTCCTATCCCGCCCGCTGCGCCGATAGCACCAGCGCCACCAGCTCGTCGAGGCGGCCATCAACCGCGAGGCGGACGCGGACGAGGGAATAGGGGTGCCATGGACGCTCGAGGTGGTCGTCGGCAGAACCAACAGAGGAACCCGAACCAGAACCAGGCCCAGCGGGTGCCTGTCGCAGGAGGCGGGAACGGCGCTGCAGGAGTAATCGGTGACGGGGAACTCGACCCCCAGCACGAGGCTTGGATACGGCATTTTGTTCAGATGGCGTTGATGGACGAGGAAGACAGCGATGACGATTCATGATAGAGCGGGGTGGGAGTAATTGCACATACCAGACCTCACAGGGGTCCGCAGAGACTGGAACTGATAACTTAGGGAAGGCATGCTAAGCCGTAGCGAATGATTGCATAGGACTAGAGCATGACGAATACTGCATTATTATGTCTATACACGATCATACTAGGTGACACGGTACGTGTGGCCATGCAGAAGGTTGGACTGCTCTCACGTAGGGAAAGCTTGATGACAACACCTGTAAAACCACGAGCCTCGTCGTTCACGCTGCAGGTGAAGTCGACTTTGCGCAGCCGCACTTATCTTTACAGACAGACGGGGTAGTCCGCCCTCCCTTTGTCAGTTAGAACCGAGGCCTGCTACCGGCCTTATTAAGATGGGTACCAGCGTAACACTCCCAACGAGAGGACCATAGCCTTTGGCATGCATCCAGGTTTGCTGATCTCAAGGCAGGATCATCGTTCAGCCCGGGACGAGCTAAGTCGAGCAAGTCATAGGCTCAATCTAACCGCTCCGGAGACATGCTGACTACACCGCTAGGGGGGTCGGCCCAACGCCGCTCAAATCCAGCAAATGTTTCGCTCATAAATCATAGACGCCTCGTCTGGTCCCAACGACTCCGCTCAGAAGACTACCAGGCCAGACCGGAAAACGCCTGCAGCCTACTCATCGCCGCTGTCAGACGAATTCCCAGAATCGTCTGCCTCACCACCAACACCGCCCGCAGCCTTGGCCTCCTTCGCCTTGGCCCGCTTCCTCAACTTCTTCGCCCTGTTCAGCCTCTTCTTCTTCTCCTTGAGCGCCTCCTCCTTGCCCATCTTCGCCTGCGCCGCCTCCTCGGCCTTCTTCTTCTTCTCCCGCTCCTTCATCCTCAGCGCGATCCTCTTCTTCTTCCCCGGCCGCCTCCTCCGCGCCGCCGCCTCCTCGTCCTCACCGCCTCTTTCTGCCTTTTTCGTCTTGCCGGGAATCGTCGTCACGCGCCAAGGCATCTCCATCCCCCACCACCTCTGCTTCGCCCTCTCAAGCACGTCCTCCCCCGACACCGCCGCCGCCGCGAATTCCTCCCTCGCCGCCGCCGACGCCTCCTCCGCGACGTAGTACGACAGCGGCCTCTTGCGGACCATGTCGCCGTCGCCCTCCATCGCGCGCTCGTCCTCGTCGACGAGCGCGATCTTGGTCGCCGGCGCGGTGGAGAACAGGCGGAACTCGAACTCCTCGGGCTCGGCCGGTTCGTCTGCTGCGGCGTCACCCATCGCGGCGTCCTCTTCTTCCGTCGTCTTGTCGGCGGCATTCTTCTTCGGCGTCGGTGAGGGCTGTTCGAGGCTGCCCAGGTCGATCATGCCCGCCATGCGGGCGTGCAGCTTCGCCAACAGCTCCGCATCCTGCTGCTCGTCGCGTACCGGCGCCTCGTCTTCCGAGTCGGACTGCAGGTCTTGCCTCCGGACCCTAACCACCCCAACAACAGTCAGCGTCGCGTTCAAGAGTCGAAGCACCGGCCGACAAACCTCTTTGCGTCCGGGAGCTCAAACATGATTGCTGGATGTTTTGTGTCGCCCTCGGTGCGTGTCTCGTGCAGAAAACAACGATTGCCGGCCGGTGGTCCCGTGTCTGCGTTGCGTCGTGGGTATTTCGATCGTCACCCCTAGAACGGCGTCCGAGCAGGAGCTATCGAATTTCTTCCAGGCCGAAAGGTGCGGCTGAACAGCGGAACGGGACCGCCGACTGTCGCCCCAATTGGCGTCTCCAATTGAGATTTTTCGCTTCGCTAAAAGTGGGAATAACGTAGTTGGCTTATCTTATCGCCCACAGCGCGGGGACCACCTGGGCAGCAGCCAGCTCTCCACCAGCAGTGACAAGATGCCGAGGCATGTATGAAGAAACCCATCAAAAGTATTCAGCCCACCTTGACCTCTCCCTTCCTTTCACCAACAAGACTGCCCGCCTCAGTTCTCGGTTCTAGTGGGTGTTGAGTGGCAGTTGATGTGGACACACGAC